TTAATTCTCAGCACAATCTTTTTCCACTCCTCTTTGAACTGCTCAAGGTATATAAAGAGAACAGAATTTAATAGAGATTTGGAGCAGAGACCACATTATCAAGACAGGTCACAGAGAGGGAAAAGTACATCAAAAAAGAATAGCTAAATATAGATTTAATAACTTGCCTGGCTTATAATAGCCCAAAAGAGTAAATTTAGGATCCTATGTTCCAGAAGCAAAGAGAAATAGTAGTTATAGGTCTAGAATAAGGTGCTATTTACTCTTCTGAAAACATTCCATAGGTAGTGTCTTTTAATGGACATGGTCTGGATTTTCACCTCAGAAAACAACAGAAGGTTCCTGATAAAACTCTCTCCAAATAACAACAAACTTGATCTGAATCAAATTTGCACTACAGCTTCTTCATTAAAAAAATATTAACAGTTCTCAAACAAATCTCAGAATATTCTGAGTTGAAAGAGATTTATAAGAATCATTAAGTCCAGCTTTTATGTGAGTGGCCTGTACAGAGATCAAACCCACACCGCTGGCACCACTCTAACCAATTGAGCTAATTGATGGATCTCTATCAAAAGCTGGATTTCGCAAATTGTCTCTTCAGCTGTAGCATTGGATTCAAATAATCAACTAAAGATTCTGGAATTATTTGTAATGTAAAGCTTTTGAATACCATGGTTGACCTGCTACCTCATCTACTTGTCATAGTCATGGCTATATTTCTCCTCTGATAGATACTCTTTCCACCTTTTTTTTTTTTTTTTTTTTTTTTAAACCTGCATTAATATCATATATTTTTTACAAGAAGAAAGAAAGACAAGGAAAATTATTTCAGGTGTCTCTAAACAATATTTAAACTGTAATTTATTTTACTTCAAAGCAATGTACAACATTAATGCACAAAAGAGTACAAAATGTAGGTCAATAAGGAACATGGCACACCCATATCAGCAATAACATCATAAAGATGAAAATCCAAAATAGGAAATTAGAAAACCCCTAATCCTCATAATTAGCTTGGGAAAATGGTCTTCTTTAGGCATATAAAACCCACAGGTAAAAGCCACAAAATAAAATAATTTTTATATGTATTTATTGAGAAGCAAACAATTTTATCTCTGACCAATTTAGGAACACTATCCCATTAAAAACAAACAAACAAAAAAACAAAAAAACCCAACTCGTGTCTCAATTCTGACTCTGCAATAGACAAAATGTCACAAACTGCTGCTGGAGGGAAAACATTTCTAACTTGTATTTTGACTTCAGGAAAAAAAAAAAAGACTGAAAAAGATGTCTGTTAAGAGCTAGTGAGAAACTTAGGAGGCCCAAAGTAATCCCACACAATCCAAATCCCACAAATAAACACTGTTATTACCAACAACATGCAGCCATTCATTCTTTATTGTCTGCGGGAGGAGAGAGCTGCCCATTGAATTTCCAAGAGGACTTCTTGTAGTACATTCAGTTTTTTTCCCTCTCAATACTGACCTTCTCCATTACTCTCCTGCCCATGAAATTTAATGTGATCACAGTCTCAATTGATTTGCCTGAAAAGAATTATGACAAAGACTTTACACCAAGAGTTACCATTGAAGAATAACTAGCATATGCACTACTATCACCACTAGCAGAAGTTCTCACTCCCAACTCCAGTATTAGAAAGTCCAAAGAGCAGAACAGCACAAAGATTCCATTGTTTAAACAAAGCAAAATATTTCTTTGTTCAAGATTATGAAGCAGGGATTTATTAGATTAGAAAAAAAAAAACTGATAACACAACACCAAATACTTCTCCTTCTGCAGAATTCCACCTATTAAGTGACAGTATGTCCTATATATCTTTTATATTTATCTGTATCTGCTGAAAGCTAAAAATAATGGTGCCTTTAGGAATTGTACCCTACTGAGTTTGTGAAAGATGACGTGAGGCATTTCTATTCTACACATTTTATTTTTACACTGCTTAAAACTGCTGTTATTCCTGAGCCTGATTTATGGGTACCCTGGGGTACTCCTAACCCCTTTTGATGTTATTTCTACTGGAAACAGTTGACAAAAGTAGATGTTCCCTTGAGCATTGCACAATTTTAGTATTTGTTTCAACTTCCAGCCATTTGCTCAACCTATTAAAGCTTCTTCAAAGACATAGAATAGCAACCCATCACCTTGAACGCTACAGAAAAAAAAAAATGCATAAAGTATGCCAATTTACAATAACTCTGCTGTAGATAAGCAGAATACATCAGAAGACATTACACTACATGGAATACTGCCTATGGATTTAACATAGCCCTACAAGAGTGTTTGGCTTTCAAGTATTTCACTCCAATGGTCAGACTTGCATGAAAATATTTATATAAAATATAAACCTAAGGCAAACTAAGTGCATCTAATGTGAACTTAAGAATAAAAACTGGCAATAGATTATCAGTGCTTCCACTTTGTATTTTTTCTATATTGCAGAGTACACTACTGCTTTATATAAGATTTTTATAAGCTTTCCTAACTTTGCTAAAACCATACAAATGTGCCAAGAATCTTGGAACTTAATTACTCTACCTGTGGTAGACTAACTGTCAATGATAAATCGATGGAAATACCTAGAGATATGGTGTATGTTGCTGCAAAGAAAAATATTTAAGAAAAATGCTAATAGTACTTCATTGTCATCTTTTCCTGATTGGTGTCTTGTTGTTGGTTTGGAATTTTTTTCCAGGAAAAAAATGAAGAAAAATCTACTTTGAAGTACAGACAAATTTCTTATCTCACTATAGTGAAGCTAATACAAAGTAATAGCTAATGTACTGAATACAGTTAATCCTCTTTTTCACATGAGTGGTACAGAAGGATGAACGTTCACAAAATAAACTGCAGAGTGCCCTAAATGCTACTTTTCCACTGCAGAAGCATATTTGCAAGTAACTTCCAGTACAATCACTTAAATATTTAACTGAAATAAAAAGATTATGGCTATTTATGTAATTTTTTGGAATTACACACAAATATTACAAGAATTTTATGTTGGAGAAAGGAATTAGAAACTTAACAAAAAAAAAACCAAACCAAAAAACAAAAAAAAAAAAACAAAAAAAACCAAAAAAACCAAAAAAAAAAAAACTCAATGAAGACTTTTAAGTAGCCCAAGATTTTACAATGACGTTTTCATAACTGATAAATGTTTTCATTGTATGATCTTGCTCTTTCCGATGGTCAAAACTTACATTTGACTCTAATTAAAACTGGTAAAAGAGAAAATCAGAAACTAAACACATTTCTTTCACAGCTTTAATTGAAAAATTATTTCATCCACCCAAAAGATACATGTTAAATTCTATTTTAACCACTTGTGGGATTTGTCATACAAAAAAATAAAATAGTATCTTGGGTTTTGGTATCACCTACAAATGTCTAGTATTACACAAGTGCATGGGAGGCTTTTATGGCTTTAAAAAAATCTAAATTCTGAAAGATAATCAGAATGCATGGATACATTCTCAAAAATTTGGAGTTATCATAGAAATGTGTATCAACATTATGACACAACGAGACAGAATAAATTTCTTACGCTTTGCTTCTTTTAATGAAAAACCTAGAAAGGGGATTTTAGAGTAGTTTTTTTCCTTATGTTTTCTTGGTTTCTTTTTGGTTTTTGGGGTTTTTTTTTGGTTTTGTTTTGCCTTTTTTTTTTTTTTTTTTTGAATGCTTGTTGTTCTTGAGAGCCCTGTGGACACAGGTCCCAGAGATATGTACTGTTTATCCCAGAAAGCTCAGCTATTCAGTAAGTTTTATCCCTTTCTTGTACTTCACGTAGTTCAGTGAACTCTTCTGAAACTTCCTAGGCCCCATACAGGAAATATAGGGATGTGCATAACCATCTTACTGCTAGGATAAAAAGTGAACTTTCACTACGGAGCTACAATGGTTGGGTTTCTGCTCCACAACCAAGCCGAGCCAGCTATGAAGAAGCACCATGTGGCACAGCTTTGTGCAGGACATCTGTCAGGCATTTCCATCTGGCTTGGGACTGGGGATCAGCCCTTGGCCCTCTTATATTTAGCAGTACAGACATGCACTAGGGGTCTGCACTTCAGTAAGCCAAACCATTCTCTTGCTCAGGGAATTTTTAGAAGGGGCAGGAGAACCAGCCACTTTTGAGTAGCTGAATCTGCACCTTTCCTGCAAAATGCTGACATACTAATTTGACAGAGACTGATATTTGGTCTTTGTTTAATCTGTACCTAGGAGCCAGTTCTGTAAATACACTACAAAGGATGCTTCCAAAACCAGCTCTTTCCAGAAGACACGCACCATATGAATCAGTATAGAGTTCAAGTATCCTTTCCAGTTTCTCCCTTCTAGCCAACAACAACCGTTTCACAATTCTCTTTACATTTTCATATAAAATATCTCCTAATCAGTAGATAAATGTGTTTCAGGTAATTCTTCACTACAATAGTAGCTGTCTTTTTCAGGCAATTGGTTTTTAATCCATGCATGTGCAAGTAATGGATATTCTTGAATGTATGTGCCCAAATACCACGTGCAAAGATGGATTACAGTATTTCAAACTACAATGAACACAAACATGAGAACAGATGCATTTCACTTTGATTTATAGAACAAATACTAAGAAAATTTCTTCAGGAACTGTCTGTCCCCCACAAAAATCTAGCTCTTTCCCAGGCCCTTGAATACATATTACCAGAAAATATCTACGCACTTATGCCACTATCTTGAGCTCTCAATGTTTTAGTTAGAACTTAAGCAGCCAGATTTCCACCTGCGATGTGACTAAGGTACAAAAATATGAACTGCAATTTTACCAGCTAAACAAATAACACACCTGAAAATATGACCCATTTTTCACCATGTTACCAGGGAAAAAAACTACCAGCCTTTAAAAAGGAAAATGAACCGAGAAAAAGAGGCTCTTTGGAAGTGATAAGTACTCTGAAGCACTGAGACTGTATATCTCTGACAATTTTTGTTGTACTTACCTAATATCTGTGCATGTTATACATGTGATACAGCGGCTGTTTGTTGTAACGAGGTTCAAAGCCACAGATGTTTCACTGTCAGTGGTTGGGTGTGCTCCACATTTAAAGTAAAACTCCTGAAATATTGAAGGAGAGATAAAGAGAAGATTACATACCTGCTGCTCAGGTCCTTCCTTTATCTTTGGTTAACTGACATTTGAGGGAACAGACAAATCACCACTGCCAACAGCAAAGGAGGACAGTCATTAGGAAAGGTTTACAAGGGAACCCTTGCAAAAATACCAGTCTAGGCGTGCATTTTGTTCAGTGCCTTTCCTAGCAAAGAAGATATAAGTGTGACACATTATATGATCTTCCGGATTTGCAAAAAAAAAAAAAAAAAAAAAAAAATCACTTCATCTAGACTTAGTCTGTGTATAGCCGTCAAAGGCAAAATACTAACCAATTTCAATATGCATTAATATTGTAACTATATTTTCTTGTTACAGATATTACCATTTTCTGAACTCTACAACATAGAATTTTAGCTCTAAAATAGTGAAGTCTGCCCTTGCTTTTGTGATGTTGGAAATCTCGAAGATACAATTTTACCATCATAATAAAGGAAAGCACTACCTCTCTTGAAACCCATATTACATTTGCAAGTGTACAGCGTTTGAATCAAGTTGCTCTAGCCTCTTAGACTGCCTTCATTAGCATAATATTTTTCAGACAAATGTGTGTTTTGTTCTCTCTCCCATTCTACTGCACTCCAGGGAAGGCCATAAGAAGCACACTATTCTTTGATAAGATTTTGTTACAATAAATTGTTCTAAGTGTACAAATCACTCTAAGCATACATATATAAAAGCAGTCTGAAGACACATGCTTTGCAATAGGAACCACAGATTAAAGTTTGTAATTTCTTTGTTACTATGAGACCTTCTTTCCAGTAACAAATTGTGGAGGTTTATAATGAAAACAAGGCATAAATGAAATGTGAAATGGAACTTAAGGGTATAAAAACATTGGAAGAAAGGATAAGAAGGCATTAAAGAATGACAATTGTTGACATCAAGATACTAACATCACAGTTTATTCTCAAGAAACCTGACCTTGGTAAAAAAATACTAAGAAAACAAAGAAAAAAACCCAGAGCAACAGCAGCAAGGGAAGAAAAAAAAAGGAAAAAAATCGGCAACATATGCTAATGACTCTTGAAGGTGGGACAGGATGGAGGAATAAAAAAATTACAGCTACTGTCAACTTCTTTAGAGTGAAAAGGTCACATCCAGGCCTCAGTATCAGGAACAATCCAAAAGCCATGAAAAAGACATGCTAGGTGTTTGCTAGTGTCACCCCCAGTTCCTACCTAGACAATGTGGACACATATTACAGCACCCACTAATACATGAGTAAAAGGGGGCATGTGGATGAAGGAGAATGAAAAAAAAAAATCAGTTTTGTTTAATACAAAAACCCCTTTCCCCCTCTAAAACTTTGCACGATTTCCTGCAATAGTGTACTAAAAGCAGTCCGGAAGACTCTTACTTTCTCATACAGCCTTACAGTATGGAGTTCTTTGTCTGCAAAATAGCTGTGATTTACTGGTTTGGGTTTTTTTCCTCTGTGGTGATCATCATTCAGCCATATTGTGTATTTCTACACAAGACAAATGTAGTACTATGCAATACCATGATACTCTAAGGAGGACTCTGGGATATGAGAAATATAAAGGTAACCTTCCCCCTAGGTTAGTCACTCCTGTTTGTCACAGAAGTGCTGATATATGCAATAGATTCACCAATATATTCACACCCCACAGTAAGTGAAGGGCACAATGTCTGATGCATGTCTTAGTTGCAGTTTAAGAGAACCATGTGGCGGGAGTACAGTTTAAAGGCAACCCTGTTCTTTAAAGCAATTATTCACAGGACTTTTGAAATAAATCACCAATACACATTTCTACATAGCTAAATTATCTTTGTGTTGGGAGGGAGGGAAGGAAGGGAAGGAAGGGAAGGAAGGGAAGGAAGGGAAGGAAGGGAAGGAAGGGAAGGAAGGGAAGGAAGGGAAAGAAGGGAAGGAAGGGAAAGAAGGGAAAGAAGGGAAAGAAGGGAAGGAAGGGAAGGAAGGGAAGGAAGGGAAGGAAGGGAAGGAAGGGAAGGAAGGGAAGGAAGGGAAGGAAGGGAAGGAAGGGAAGGAAGGGAAGGAAGGGAAGGAAGGGAAGGAAGGGAAGGAAGGGAAGGAAGGGAAGGAAGAGAAGGAAGGGAAGAGAAAGGGCAAGAAAATATGCTTAAAATCATCCTGAGACAAAACTTCAGTCTTCCCAAGCTTTTGCTCTTCTTCAAGACACAGATATACACACGACTTTTAAATATCAGCTTAACTTGAAGCATTTCAGCTTCAAATGAGTCAATGGAACTACACATTCATCTGGAATAGATGATAACCTTAACCAATCTGCAACTTCAATTTATTTTCAACCTTTAAAAAATATATCCATCGATCTTTGCATTATTTGCTAATAGGTTTTGGAGCTTAAGTTTCTTTGTCCTTTAATTTGAATTTATTTTGTTTGAATTAGATGTTAAGAAGGATTTATTTCAGTGCAGAAGATATATATTTCTTTGCCTCAGTACATATTCTACATACAACTAAAGAATATTGACAAATCACAATTCAAGAACAGGTAAACTATGGGCAAGGAATCTTACCAAAAAAAATTTGATAGAAGTACTTACCACTTATTTGGACCACAAACAAAAAGTGCAATAAAGGTATTAAGATCTGAACCAATTGAAATAGATTTAGATGTCTTTTTGTCCCTAATGAGCATCTGTTTGGTGATTCTTATTGCTTTTGATAATACCTCATGATGGTTCTTGTCATGAAAGGTACTTAACGAAGAAGGTAAATAAAATTACATAATCCTTATTCCAGGGAAAGACAGAAAGGGAAAAATAGCCAAGAGTCTTGTGCTACAGTCTAAAATACTTCTGCTATAGCATTAGGAAAATTACTTCTCAACATTTTTATTTATCAGCCCAAACACTGCTTTAAGAAAACCTCTCTAATTAAATTTATGATGTGCTTCAGTGTTGCTGAATCGAGAACATTATAGAATGTGAAAACACTGTTTAATATTACAAAAGAAAATCTTGCCAGTTTCCAAAGCTATCCATTGAAAGACTCCCTGCTTGACTAAATCGCAATTAAAGAAGCAGGAAATCTTAATATTAAATACAAACAGAACAGAGGGCTCATTAAAAATATAGGAAAAAAATCCCACATGATTATGTATCAAGTACTTTTTCAAAAGTAATCATGAAGATTAAAGAATAAAAGAGTTATTCACAACAGATATGTTGAGACTAGCAGTACACCCTTGGAAAATCAAAGATTATCAACCCACACAAAGCACAGTTCTACACAATCAATGCAATAGTCTGTCTCTGGAGATATGAGGCCTCAGTGCAGTGCTGGGAGTTCAGAAGTACAGGGAAAGTTTGGAACCAAAAATGCAGTATGCTCTGAGCGCCTGACAGTTCTGCAGTAGTGTGGACTTCATTTCCAGATTTTTTAATGTTTCTTTTTCTCTGCAATAATACACATTCCATCTGTTTAAAAGCTTTTAAAAGTCCCCAAACCAATTAAGTTTCCAGCTGCATATAAAAGTTTATGTTGCCTGGTTTTGCACATTGCATAAATACACAATCCACAAGTATTTATTTGTTCAATCTACCAGATTTTCCAGAGACTTAACACACATATGCCCTTTTTATGCCCTGGCATATACCTATGAAGTTATCACTACAGATAACCCATCAACACAAGTTGCTTTTTAATTGCTTCCAGCAATGAAATTAAAGAAAGCAAAATATAAGAAGGATGAGTGTAGCCACTTCTCACTCTTTAGCCTTGCATTTTACCAGGCATGTAAATGTAGCTATTATTTTATTTCACCCAGTGTACGGAAGCCTAAGGAGAGAAATTTGTCAAGATTTTTTAATCCAAATAATTTCTGTTCCAAAGTTAATCTTTGAACAGGCATAGAGACCTAGGAGCCAGCCAATTTAGGACTAACATTATAAATTAGCCTCAAACTCTATAATTCAAACAAGCAGTAGCTATTTCTTAAGATTGATATCAAAATGTTTCTAAACTTATGCTATATGAAACAGTATTTTCATAATGTTGACTTCATCATAAAAAACCCCCAAACCTTACAGAATAACACAGAAGGAATGAGCAAAAATTCATGCAGTCTACATAAGTATCTGACTACTTCTAAATTTTTTAGAATAGAAGAAACCACATTATTCCTTCTTTCTGCACGTGTGTTTTTAGGTACAAAAACCTTTCTGATGATTGTAAGTATTGCTGTTCAGCCATGAGTAAGGATGTCAAGGAATTATTGCAAGAGCAGAGACAAAATTTAGTGCTTTTCTTAGTTCTAAAAGTGAGTAGTTTTACAGTCACCTACTGCAGTGAATGCCTTTAGATAATTTTCTTGCCTAAAGGCATAGGTCCCATGAAATTGTGAACATTCTATTTAACACTATAAATGTCTTCCTTTTGGCAGTGTATCTGATAGATTGTTATTCAGAGAAGGGAGCAGGCATCACTCTTCCATACTCTGTCATATTCCTCACTCCCATTATCTCTTTTGTGTCACATAACATCATAAAAAGTGCATGAGGGAAGAAAAGGTTCAAAGATACATGGTCAATGTTAGCTCCTTTTTATGAAACTCAAGAACAAAATGTTCAGATTTTTCAAAACTACCCCAAATCTTCTTTGATATTTTACTAAAAGTGTCTCTCTGTAAACTCTGGCTTTTCAAACAAACAGGGGGTTTACATACCCAAAACTTATATATATATATATATATATATATATTTAAAAATTATGTAAATATATAAAAATATAAAATGTATATATATATACACATATATAAATTTTATAATTATATATATAATATATATATATTATATATATATATATATATATATAATTAACTGAACTGTCTTCTATATGGTCAAGTAACCACCATAAGTAAGATCAAAGTCACACACAAACCATCGGGGAAAGCAGTCTGAAAAAGGCCAAGAAGAAACTTTACCCTTTTGATATA